GGGGATGTGCCCGCAACCAAGGTACATGCCCTTGACCAGAATCGAACCTGGGACCCTTGAGTCCGCAGGCTGACGCTGTATCCACTGAGCCAAACTGGTTAGGGCAGAATCATTGATTGGCTGCCTCCTGCATGCTGCCTACTGGGGATCGAGCCGGCAACCTGAGCATGTGCCCTTGACTGGAATTGAAGCTGGGACCTTTTAGTCTGCAGGCTGATGCTCTGTCCACTGAGCCAAACCAGCTATGGCCATTTGTTTATTTTTGTTTCTCTTGCCTTGGAGTCACATTCACAAAAACAGCACTAAGACTCATGACCAGAAGCTTAGTACCTATATTATTGTCTGTGTGTTTTATTGTTTCAGGGCTAACACTCAGGTCTTTAGTCCATTTTGAATTAATTTTTATGTATGGTGTACAATAGTAGTTTACTCTCTTTTTAAAAAAAATATATTTTTTCGGAGAGGAAGGGAGAGGGATAGAGAGTTAGAAACATCGATGAGAGAGAAACATCGATCAGCTGCCCCCTGCACACTCCCCACTGGGGATGTGCCTGCAACCAAGGTACATGCCCTTGACCAGAATTGAACCTGGGACCCTTGAGTCTGCAGGCTGATGCTCTATCCACTGAGCCAAACCGCTAGGGCCAATAGTAGTTTACTTTCATTCTTTTGCATAGGGCTGTCCCGTTTTCCCAGCTTTATTGAAGAAACTTTCTCCATTGTATATTCTTGTCTCCTTTGCTGTAAGTTACTTGTCCATATATGTCTGGGATTATTTCTGGGCTCAGTTCTGTTCCATTGGTCTCTGTGTGTGTTTTTGCCATTACCATACTGTTGATTATTGTAGCTTTGTAGTGTAGTTTGAAATCGGGTAGTGTGATATCTCTGGCTGTGTTCTCTTTTCCCCAGGATTTCTATTTGGGGTCTTTTGTGGTTCCAAAATTTGAGGATTTGTTTTGTTCTATTTCTGTGAAAAATGCTATTGGGATTTTAATAGGGATTGCGTTGAATCTGTAGATTCCTGTAGGTAATATGGACATTTTAACAATGTTAATTCTTCCAGTCCATCGACACAGAATTTTTTTTCATTTTTTTGTCTTTAATTTCTTTCAAGAAAGAATGTCTTTTCCTTTTCAGTGTATAAGTGTTTCCTTTCCTTTGCTTATTCCTAGGTATTTTTTTTTCTATTTCAGTTATAAATGGGATTGTTTTTCTTTATCTATCTTTCTGATAGTTCATTGTTAGCATATAGAAATGCAGCAGATTTCTGTATGTTAATTTTGTATTCTGAAATTTTATTTCTGATATTTTTTTGGTGGGATCTTTAGGGTTTTATATATATAAAATCATGCCATCTGCAAATAGTGACAGTTTTACTCTTTTCTTCCAATGTGGGTGCCTTTTATTTTTCTTCTTGCCTGATTACTCTAGTTAGGCTTCCTAGTGCTGTGTTGAATAAAAGTGATGAGCGTAGGCAGTCCTTGCCTTGTTCCTGAGAGATACAGTCAGGGGAGAACTGAAACGCATCCATTGGATTTGTTACCATGGAGTGTATTGTGACATGACAAGAGGACTTCTGTTGGAGTTGTACAGGCAGAAACTAGACTTGACTGGTTTTAAGAGTGCATAGGAGGTGAAGAAATAGAGATAACAAA